CATTTTTCACTTTTTACAGTAAACAGGGAAGCAGAACAGTGGAAAAAAAGTGAACATGTTTGTATGGGAGTTTGCCTTTCAATTCACTATATTGTAATTTTGGTCTTATATTTTCTATTTGGAAAACAGTGAAAGTAGATGAAAACTGAGTTTTCCTACTTCATCATAATTGTTTCCAAGAAGAAAGAAGTAGAAAAAATAAAAAAACTTCAGCAATTCCCAAACTGCGGAGGCAAACATGACAATTCCCTTCTAAAATACCAAAATGAAACATCAGCCTTGAAAAAAATGTTATTTATGGAATTATCAGAACAATTAAGTTGTAATTTAGAAATGGCTTTTTCCCTAAATCTGTGACCTTCATCTGTTTCACTTCTGTTTTCACCCCAAGATGGAAGTGAACATGGCAATATTAATGTTCCATCCTTGCTGAAAACTCCGGTTCCCACAAGCCTAGCAGAGAGTTGCTGTGAAGACAAAGAGATGTTTAACCCTCAGCAGCCTCTTGGAGAGCTCCAGGCCGGGCACACGGCTGCCTGGCACATGCCGGTCCTGCAGTGAGCAGCAAGGCCCATGGCTGCACTGAGCTGGTGGGGCATCAGCCATGTCCCCGGCGGCCCAGTTCCGGCAGGGAATTACTGCGCCTTTGTAGCAGGGCACATAAACCTGCACCAGGCTCTTGCGTGACAGGGCTCCTTGCCTGGGGTGGTTTATGCTCAGGCAATCCCCAGGCAGAAGGATGTGTGTGGGGCTTCTTGCACATCTGTGCAGATGTGCCTGAGAAAATGCTCTGTTGTCAGCGCTGGCAAGCTCGCTCTCATTAAGATGACTGATTTAAAGAATATCACCTCTTGTAACAGATGAAAGAAGGAGAAGCCAGTGTCCCAGCAGCTAAGGCCAGACCTTTCGAGCTTTTAAACACAACTTACGTCTCTCAGCACTCTGGAAGAGAACTGACACTGTAGCTGGGATGCACTTACACAAAACAACTGGAGTTGTACTGTAGCAGACGGCAACTGTCTGACAAAGAACTCAAAGGACAAGAACAAAACCATGGAAATAGATGGCAGCTCCAACCTGGCCTTATTTTCTTTCTTTCTGCACATCAGCCTCAGAAAAAGTTATCATATGCCAAACATTACTGAATAACAGAGCTCAGCAAGCTTGCAGGAACCAGACAGACTCAAAATAATGTTTTTCATACAAAACACAATGAGGTCATAGTTGTCTTTCATCTGGGATAATAAAATTATGCCTTGGCTACATCGGGCAGTTTCATGCTGAAGACATCATTGCTGATCTACATTTTTAAAGTAGAAGCATTCACTTTTCAGCATGTAGCTTGGGTTGAGAGTAAATCTGTTTGTATGCTTTACAAAATAATCAGATAAGACCCAAAATGCCTTTCCTAGCATCTCATCATACTAAAGATAGAGAGACCTTGCACATAGCTACATGCACAATCAACTTCTAATAATGCTGTTCAGCAGAACAGAAGAAAATATACAGACCTGTCACGTACAAGTGCTTGGAAAAAAAATCTTTGCTTCCAATAAAAAGAGTTTAGTGGAGAGATTCTGGATTGTCTCCTGAGGTTTTTTTTTTTTCCTTAAATGAAATGTATCTTTTAGTTCAGAAGAACAGGTTGGTTTGCACTCTTCCTAAAGACTTCTTCAGCTTTAAAGTCAAATCACGTTTTAAAAGATGCTGTGATGGATTCTGCAAATGTGCATTCAAAGCAGGTGTTATACAAATAAATTGGGCTTCTTCACATAAGTATCTACTACATGAACTGAGGGTTGCCTCTCTAAGAGACTTTCAAAGCAAGCTTTGTTGTGTTGCTAAGATCCAGACAAGGAATGCCAGCCCGGACAAGGTTTAAAATGGATTTAAAGCTTTTTATCATCAGACACAAGTCCTCAAAGTGACTAAAGGGGGCAGGAAGCACTGGTATTTGAAACTCCTGAATTTTTATTTCTCAGCAGGAGATGAGCACTCATATTGTTCCTCAGTGTTTGGGTGGACAATGTTTTAATTTCATTTGAACTGAAAAAAAAATTTAATAAAAACAATGCTGCACAATGGAACACAGTATTGTTTGGGTAAATAGCACTTAGAAGAAAGCCAGTTCATTATTATCACTTGAGATTGGAGGCCCCTACTGAGACCAGTGACCCGCTGCGCTGAGATCTGTGTAAATACATGATGAGACACAGTCCTTGGGCCAAAGAGCTCGCAATCCAAACACACAAGGCAAACATCTGAGGTATTACAATCATCCTCACACTCAGTGCAGGGCTGTCACATGCTCTAAGTGCGAGGCCTCTCTGTGGTTAATGGAAACATCAGTTTTGCCCCCTTTTTTCCAAGCCCTGTGCTCAGCTCTCGAGCTGAATCCTGCAGGGCAGTCAGACGTGCTCTACCCTGACCCAGAGCCCTGACCATGGCTGTGCTATCTGGGTGGAAAAATGCACATGAGACACAGCAGCAGGGATCCCCATGACTCAGGTCTGCTTACCCCTCTCCGAAGTAGCTTCTCCTGTGCCATGGAGACGACACTGGAGAGGCACCCATACTGTAGGTGGGAGGAGAACCAGACCTCCAACTTTTGCAAAGGCCATCATGAGGATGTCTCTAGCTGCCTGCGCACTGATAAGCTGGTGTCCTCCCTGGTATCAAACAATGAAGCAGACAGAAGAGACCTGCACATCTGGAAGCAATTTGGGAGGAAGCTCTTCTGCAGCACTTTCACCTATCTCCCTTCTTCTGCTTTTGCAGCGCATGGCACTTCTCCTGTTCTTTGCTGCTTGGCAGCACACTTGTGCGCAGTGTGGGCATGAAGTATGAGATGAGAAATGTCGTGAAGGGACAACCACCAGTACCCACCAGCAGTTTTCAGCATTTGTTGAGCTCAAGCTTAACTACAGAGCAGCGGAGACTTGCAGGTGTGTGGCTGCTGATGGTTCCTGGTGAGGAACTGCAGCAAGCTCATCACACACACCAACCCTCTTTCTTTCACTGCAGTTCACTGGTACAAGTGATGTGTCTAAATTTAAATGTTTCTCTGCAGCTTGTGCATTTTTTAACTCCTGGGTTATTTTTCCGAAGCCAATTAAAGCAGATGTGGCATTATTATGTGCCTGGATTATTATGCTGCCTGAAGAAGACCAAATATGCGGCATACATATTTTTATTGTTGTTGTTGTCATCTAGACTATTACATTATTTTCAACACATCATTTACTCTA